ATACTTTATTTCGGTAAAATTCTTACAACGAATAGATCCATGGAAAAAAGTTTCTCAGGCATTAAGATACTGGGTGCGTATCCATATGACAAATGGTTCGGAGATTATTCCCTTCACCCACATTGTGACCTGTGCGGTACCACAGCAAAAAATAAAACTACTTACTTTTTTCACGGCACTCTTTTATCGCCACTGGTGCCTCACAGCACTAGTTAACGTGAGATACCATGGCTCTTTCCTAACCAAGCCGATCCGGACACAATACTCTTGAAAGTCATTTTAGTCAAATCCAAAATACTTCATCTTTCCTTTCTATCAAAAAACAAAAACCAATCAAAACTAACAAATAATAAATACATATTTTTACAGAGTTTGGAAAGAACGATTAAAAGTTTTCATGGATTTCCCATTTTCGGAAAAATTTCCGGGATTAATATGCGACGTGCATATAAATCATCCAGTTAGAATATCTTCAACCTCCTTCGTTTTTCCACGTACATACATATATTAGAATAGCCTAAGTTAGGTAAGATAGGTTTATATGGAACTCCACAACTTAGCTTTTCGAAGATATTTCCCTTAAAAACTGTTTAAATAATTCTGACTTTTAACTGCAATTTCGCATCGATACCATAGCTCCAATGATCTAGTGGTGCTAGTGCGTCCATGAGAGTGTTGATTGGAACTACAAATTCTTAATTTCATCAGCTAGAATATCTACTTAATTTTTTTTTAACCATGTTTAATGTATGCTCACATTCATTTTAATTTCTAAAAAAACCTGAGTTATTTGCCGCAAACATTTTACAATTTTTATTAAAAATATCACCTTACATTTAATAGCTAACAAACTTCACAACTACAGTCAATGTTATTTCGATGTCTATTATCTCCAGCGCTCATTCACGATCTTCTACGAGCATACGTATTACATAGCCACCAATATTTACCCCGTCTTTGAAAAATTTTACCACTGATTTTATAATGCCACGCGGTATTTGATTTGGCAAAGAGGCTGTGTCGAAGTCCAGATTCTTTATGTAGTATTCACCTTTCGGTATAGGACAAAGACCCTCCTCAGGCACAAAAGGGAAATTGGTGTGTTCCCCCTGAATAATCGACGGCTGCACCTCTTTGGTATACAAATCTCTAAGACCCTCACAAACGCCGGTGCGCGGCACACCCATAGGCAACAGCCTGAATTGATCATCGCCCAGTGGAGAGGTGAACACCTCTACTTGAAATGTATAGTGCTGACTAGTCATGTCTTCGTTCAATGATATGGTGCCATTAATTAGACGTTGTCGTCCAACGAGTTTCAATTCACAATGATAGATGGTCTGCACGTCGCCACTAAAACATTCGACAGCTTCATTTTTCACAGTATACGATTGCTCAGCCTAAAATTATTTTTCGTAAATTATAGTCTTGTTCATAAATTTCTTCAAAACTTTACCTTAGATAATCCACTTAGCGCAAAAAGGACAACAATTGCGAACGCAGAGTACTGCATGCCAAGTGAGGTTAGTTGGCGACGCTATTGGGAATTTTCATAAAAATATTTTTCGCGAATTTTGTTCGCCCGGTATTTATAGGTTGATATTAGAAGCGATCAACTGAAATCGTTGATAGTGCCATAACATGAAAATGGCGTTTATATTTTTCATGTAATTTTAATTGAGTTGCAAATATATATTTATGAATACGGCGTACTTTGACTACATACATATAAGTATGTATGTAATATTTTTATATTGCTACTACAATCAAAGTACATTCCCTAACATCAGAGTAACATCAGATATTCCCTAACATCAGATATTGAAAAAAGGCTGGTAAAAAAATAACTTTTCAAACTCCAAGAGCGGTTTAACAAACTCTTATTAAAAAATGTGTACATTACAAATTAACAAAACATAAATTTGTGTAAATCTATGAGAAACGATGAAACCCGCAAGTGGCGGCAGAGGATAAAAAAAGGAACAGTCCAGCGCCTCTAAATTTAAACGTAGAATACGTGGTATGGTTAAGAGCATATCCACGTCAAAAACGAAAGCACACACTAAAACAAATATCGATAACAAAAGCGATTATAATATCGATAGCAAAATCAATAAAAACATCGATAAAAATATCGATGAAAATATCGATATCAAAATCGATAATAATATCGATAGCGAAATCGATAATAATATCGATAGC